TTGCTTTATTCTGATTGGTTGTCGTAATCACTTACAACTACTTACAACCAATTGTAGAATAGGCTTTACGTTCACGACCACGACCGTTCACGTTTACGCAATTGTACAATAACCTTTATTCACATACGCCTGTATTCTGAGTTTTTTTAACGATGAATGAGCCTCTAAAAGTGATAGCCAATCAGAAAGCTTATAAGCCATTTTTAGAGGCTCATTTATCGTTAAAAGAGCTTTTAAAAGAGGCTTAGGATCCACCTGATTGCTATATTTAAGGTACTTTTATCGATAAAAGAGGGCACATTTTTCAGAACATGGGCCATTGAGTATGCGTTGTCATACAGATAAACAGAGAGTCTCTGTGTGCGTAAAAGGAGGGCATAAAACGCTAGCGTTGCGCAAACTCGAAATTTTATCACTACATTGGTGTATTTAATACGCATGCCTAAATTAAAACTTAGTAATGGGTGCTTTCCAATTGCAATATCAACACTTTCATGCACACGGCGACACAAGTTGCATTCCAATTGGGTTAGGCGACAGTTTCTCGAAAAGTGGAGGGGATAATGTTGGTATCAAAGAAAATCTCTACACGATATAATTTAAAGATTCTGTTCTTTGTAACTGCATTGCTAAATTGGTGCAATACATTGAAATGAGGCAAGTATACGTTTTCTCACTCTAACCTTTTGCATTAGTTCAGCAGTGCAGTTACAAAAAACAGATCTTTAAATTATATATAGAGATTTCTCTTGGTACCAACATTATTCCCTTCACTTTTCGGGAAACTGTCGCTTAACCTTCCAATTGTCGTAATCGTTGACACACTACACATCCGTACTCCAGGGCTACTAGTCGGGGTTAGGCGACAATTTCCCGAAAAGTGGAGGGGATAATGTTGGTACTAAAAGAAAACCTCTACGCGAAATAATTTAATGATCTGTTTTTGCTGTACTGCTGAGCTAATGCAAAAGATTAGAGTGAGAAGAAACTTGTCTCCCTTCAATTTATTGCACTAGTTCAGCAGTGCAGTTACAAAGAACAGAGTCGCTATTCCGTTACCCACGTATTGACAGTTGTCGAATCGGTAGGCGTCGTTGTGCAGCTTTTTTATACCGTGGAAAAACGGCGCAACGACACCTACTGATCCGACAACTATTGGAACCACGGTAACGAAATAGCAGCCCAGGCCTTTAAATTATATCGTGTAGAGATTTTCCTTGGTACGAACATTATCCCTTCCACTTTTCGGGAAATCGTCGCCTGTGTAAACTAGTGTTTTCTAGTGACAATTGAAGTTAATAAGCATAGCGGCTTGAAAAGAGACTGGCATTTGCGACGTGAAGTGGGTAATATCTTTTTTATTATTTAGATTTTATTATTTATTATTAAAAAATTCCTAAATATAAGCACAGTTGAAAAATAATCCTAACCCTACCCGACATACGTACACATTAGTACACACTTTGTTCCAATTGAATCGTGCACAACGTTACACTTTGCGCATTTCTGGGTGCTTTCCAATTGCTTAACACATCTTGACACACACGTACACAAAACCAGTTTATTGGTCACATATTATCTAAAATATCTTGTAAGATAATATGCAACCAATAAACTGGTTTTATGTAACACAGTGTACGCAACTGGAAAGCACCCTCTGTGTACATGGGTGCTTTCCAATTACGTACACTGTGTTACACAAAACTAGTTTATTGGTTGCATATTATCTTACAAGATATGTTAGATAATATGTGACCAATAAATTGGTTTTGTGTAACACAGTGTAACGTAATTGGAAAGCACCCCATATGTATCAAGATGTGTTAAGCAATTGGAAAGCACCCAATGGCTCTATGTAGCACATACGATCCGGATTAGAGCTTCTGTCTCTCTTGAATTCTGAACCTGAAAATAGTAGATTACGAGTTGTTAATTTGATCAATAAATTTAAACATATATATTGCATACACCAGTAGCGTTAAATAATGTTGAAAAATGTCAAATTGAATAATCAAAAATTTTCGACTAAATTTAAAGTTTGTTTAAAAAAGATAAAATTTTCGATTAAAGTAATCGCCATGCTTTTTATATATTTCGGGTGATTTATGAATCTCATATCTAAAAGATGCTGTGACATGATGAAGTCGAGTCATAGTTATACTTTCAAAAGCTTCCAGAGCGTTATTTGTTGATTAGATTAAAATCACGGCTCTTAAACTGTTTAAACTAAAATCCACGCATTGTACACTCAGTTGCGTTGATGCTATACCATTTCCCAGATCGATAGTCACTCAAAAGTTTTGACCAGCCGTGTCCGTTTCTAGCTGATCGTTTTTCATGACTGTTGATTCATCCGGCAAGTGGGAATGTCAAAATAGAAGTGACATTTTGACAGCTTGACATTCATACATACGTATTTTTATCAGTAGTTTATCTGCTCACACGTAACGCGCAATAAGTAGAAGAAGAGTAAGAATGTTAAAAAAGATAAGAAGTTTTTACTTTATTCGAATAAAGTAGAATGTTTATTAATAACGAATAATTTGAGAGCAAAAAGCGTGAAAATATTAAGAGCAGAGACTCTTTGTGTTGTATGTGTATAAATTTATTATAATTTTGTATATTAACTTCTTACTTTTTTTTAACATTCTTATTCTTCTTCTACTGATTACGCATTACACATGAGCAGATAACCTTCTGATAAAAACACGTATGTATGAAATATCAAGCTGTCAAAATATCACTTCTATTTTGACATATTCCCGCTTGCCGGATGAATCAACAGTCATGAGAAACGATCAGCTAGAAACGAATACGGCTGGTCAAAACTTTTTAGTGACTATCGATTTGGGGAATGGTATAGCATCAACGCAACTGAGTGTATGTACATCTTCGCTGAACAATAAACATCGATTTGCTCGCTTTAGAAGCATTCTTTTGTTAGAATTCATAAAGAATACAGTTTTTGATATATACTTTATCTGTTGCTATTTTACTGAGTACTTTTTAGGGTCACGTTAAGCCTCCCGCCAAACTAAATGTCATTTTGAATAGCTATATGTTAATGCTACATAACTGCAAAAAAACTACAAATTAATCTTAAAATTACTTTTTAACTGCTATATATAAAAACAATTTGACTTAGGCCGGGTTGCACCAACATTATTTTGGTTTTAGGCGAGACTTAAATATACGTTTGTCTTTATTCATTTAGAAACAAAGATATATATA